ACTACTTTCTCGCGTGCTTCCTGGCATAAGTAGCACACATGATCACAGCACAAGACTCAATATCACATTGCATGAATGCTGATCTGAGCTGCGCAGCAGCAAACTTCTTGAGCAGTTCCCGAGTGGTCCGCGCAATGCGGATAGACTCACGCGCGTGTTGCTCAGCTGTAACTGCTTCGTTTTCTTTGGCCGCCTTCATGGTGATGTCAACCTCATCTTTTTCAGGGGTCTTCAATCATGGGATAGCAAACTTGTGTCACTCTCCGGCCCCTATCCGCTTTGCTGTAAATGCAGTATGCCCTGCCTGTCTATTCTCCAGGTGTCAAACCAAGAAAGGCATCACCATCCATTCAGGTCCAAGTCGCATAAACAGCCAAGATCACATTGAAGATGCCCATTGCCTGGTGGTCTCAAAAAGTGGCACAGGATTCAATCTTGAAGGTACCCCAAAAGAACTCCGAAATCCGATCCCTAATCTCGAGGTGACGTAGGGGAGCATGCAGGTATTCAGCAGCAGAGCTTAATCCACTGTTAAAAACAGAACTTGGATTTGCTGAAATTCCAAAAGCTCTCAGCACCCAGCGATGAGTCAACGCTGCGACGAGGCAACTATGTGGGAATTTTCTGACAATGACGACCCTTACTTTGAAACACCAGAAATATGAGCTTAACGTATCATCTTAACCTGGCACACGCACCGCTATTTTGAAAATCGCCCATGGCATGGTCTGAGTGCAGTGCTACCAGCATGTAGCTGAAGACATAACTGAAGATGAAGCCATAGCCAAACTCTTGCGCCAGCATGTGAGTTAACGGCTTGCCATCCACATCCATGCACTCGCCTGTCAGAGAACGTTGGGGTAATGTGATAGCTAAGGGGGTACTGTCATGAAGTATCGAGGGGTTGCAGATATGTGGAGTAGCTGTGCTTTCAGAAAGGGATTGCGAGAACTTGTTCATGACATTGCAAAAGAACCCCAAACTTGTTAGCCCCTGTTTCAGGGCGAGTACAATGAAGGTCCCTTGTCTGAATGCATGCGAGGAGGCACCATGCTACAAACAACCCTGCGAGTGTGGGGCAAGATCAAACTGCTGATTTCTCGGATGCTCATGCTGGGCCCAAACCATGGTAGCTGCCACAATCCCTTTCAGCAAGCCTCTATGAAGGTCACTTCAAGTTAAGGCTGACCTGAAGTCCGCAGATGATAGCCAGATATCCCCAGAGAATCTCTGAGCAGTCCTTGGACGATTTAATGCAGTAGCTTCCACAAGCAGGGTGGGACCCCAATACAGACCCCAAAGCGCTATAATCTTCACGTTAGGTCCCCAAAAAGGTACGTTTCCCATGTCTTGCAACCCTAAACCCTAAACCAGCCTGTGAAGCAGCGGAAGCAAGTGAACATGGATTCGGGGAGCGACCTCAGCTCCCACGACTGGCGCTTGGGTTTTGTTTGCATTGGTATAGGGCGCATATTATGGGGGTCCCAAAATTAGGAGGCCTCTATCGGGGGTCCCCTTAATAAGGATTAAAGTATTTTGGGGATCTAGATTGGGGTCCCGGATTCAGGGAAACTACCATACAGGGTAGTGGAAAAGAAAATGGAAACTACTATGGGGTATATACTGGAGGTGTCGTTTGTGGGCATCTAGGAGAACACATACAAGCTACTGTGACTGTTAGAAGGATCCCTCATCCTCACTAGGCTGCTGCAACCATGATAGTTCCGGTAGAGGTGGAGGAAAGAATGGCGGCTTTTCAAAGCGTCCACAGAAAGTAAGGACGGCGTCTTGCAATTTTGAAAGAACGGCAACATGCACGTACTCTGCAAACTTCAGAACAGGCATACGGAGAGTGCTTCTCAGAAGCGTACAAGGCTTGCTGCTGTAGCTGCAAGTTACAAGTCTTGGCAGGTATCCAACAGCAATGGCAACAGCAAAGAGAAAAAACTCAGATCACACAGACTGTGAAGCTGAAAATGGTCCATGGAAGTTATTTGCCGCACGAGCGACCGAAAATACACTTGCAGCTCCAGTTCGGCAAGAGCTTCGTCAGGGCCCAAGATCATGGTGGCAAAGCCAGAGATCACCTGGCTTGCCGTGAAACATGCATGCTGCATCGGGGATGATCAACTGGAGCAGATGGTCCTAACCAAAATCATGTTATCTGTGGAGTTGCGTAAATGACCGAGAACAGCAAGGTGAAGGCCAGTATCAGCGTCCTTAGCGTAAGCTCCCAGCAGCATTTCGAAGCCGAGATCACAAACAGTTCGGCCAAATCAGACTTGGTCCAAACAACTTAGACCAGAAATCAACAAATAATGATGAGCGGCTTGATTCCAGCAATCAATCCTTTTACCATGAGCCGCAGGTCCCTCATGAACTTTAGGCGGAAGACCTGCAATATCAGGGAGGCTGCTACCGCAATGTACCGACAACTTGCAAGAATCAGCGCCTTGACGATACGCACAAGCCGTATCAGCCGGCAGAACCGCAGAAGAGATGTACCAAAGAAATCTGATCTTTGCTGGCTGACCAGCTGGACGCCCATGTCAATGATGCCGGTAGCTGCAAGAAACAGATCCTGAGCTTGCTTGCAGAAGATGACCAGTTTCACGGTATGCCCTGAACCTGGTAGGCTGAGTTCACTGCACGGCTAGTAGTCCATGGGAAAAACCCTTTTACTGAAACGTGAACAGATTAGGAAATGACGCGAAAAAATGACTGCTGCGAGGGAACAAAGAAATTCCAGTACCGCTCTTGCCCGCACCAGAACTCGCGACATCTTAGGAGATGCATGCGCAGCGCAATCTCCAGCAGCAAGAAGGAGCCGAAGGCAGCCTCCAAGTAGACCCAGCCTTCCCAGGCCTGCGAAACTTGAGGGTTTAGGGGTTTAGGGTTTAGGGTTTAGGGAGGAATCTAAGGTTTAGAATTCAGAGCTGGGGGCTTAGTCTGGTGCATGGCCCCAACTGCGCCTAGTCAGCTTCCTACTTCTTATGGAGGGCTACAGAATGCATCCTTTCAGCCGTACTCGTCTTGCATCCAGAATGCCTGATACCGCATGTCGGTCTGGAAGCCGATCCTGTGCCATGCAGAATTTTCCATAAACTTAAACAACCACGGGATACCTGACTCGAGGACCCAAGGAGGGGCCCCGTGCACGGTGCCTCGCACTTAGCATTAGGAGGCCCATATCACTTACAAAATTTGCAAGTGCACGAGTTGGAGAGGCATTCAGGTTGAGTGAAAGACTCCCATCCGCTCTGGTAAAAGCAGAAGACGGAGTAAACTTGCAGGGCACCAAATGTTCTCCGAGACGCATGACCCCATTCGCGATGATTAGCCTTGTGGCCGGGGGATTGGTATTTTAGGCTTTAGAGTTCAGGACACAGGGCTTAGCTTCTTTGCCGCTATGTTATCCATGATCACATCACAGTACGTGGACAAGTGAACAAGCCCTGGGATACGGTTCTCAAGGCTTGCACATACTTCTCAAAGTCAAAGTCCCCAATCCCCAGCAGCTGCATGCTCCCAACCATAGTTGCCCCGTATGACCCGGCAAGGGGCAAATCCATTTTGAGAAATCCTTCGCATGTAGCATGCCCCTTCATCCTGGACACAACTTCGCATAATCTGCACGCGACCAAACGTTGAGAGCTCCCATGTTCTCCCTCAATCTTATATAACCATTGTATAACATACCCCAAAACCCCATTCCTTTCTATTTGAGGAACACGGCAACGAAGGGCTCGATGAGGAGCAGCGGATGCAAAGGCTCAGGCGGTGCCTGGAGTGGGGGTTAGGTTTGGGGTTAAGGGCCAGGACTTGACATGTAGGATTGGGAACGCGGGATTCAAGACTTGGAATTGAGGTTGAAGGCGTTGCATGGCAAAGGCAGAGATGCGTGCAAGAATTGCAATAGGCGTGTGGAGATCGTCGGCGGGTTGAAAAGGCGTCTCAGAATTCTGGGTTGCCTTTATGGGGTAGCACAAACAAGGATGTAGTTGCGATGCTGCAATATACCTACGCAGTCGCCTGACCACAACAAAAACCACAACCATTATGCTGTTTGGCGCAAAAGGGGATGGGAACCCTGAACGTCAAACCTACATCCCAAGCCCGAAACCTAGACAAAAGACACCAATCCCCACACCCTAAACCCCAAACTTTTTGCCAATACAAGACGAGTTTGCAGCCAAGTCATTGATGCGAACGAAAGTCAGCTCTGCCACGAGACCTCAACTACTACATCTTCAACACAATTTAAGGTTCGATGTTGACATATGTTGACTATGATCCCATTACAACTATGAAGTGCCCAGCCTAGAGCACAAAAAGCAACCCCCTACAATTTCGAAATTCCAGCCTCAAGTCCCTTTAAAAAGGCAACATGTTGTTGCTAAAACAAATAGAAGGGCCAGAAGGCTCTGGGATCATGTTGCTGAAGCAGCTACAGTGTCAGAGCTATCAAAATGCTATTAAGGACTTGATTAAACTACTAGAAGGACCCCTATGTTTAATGGTCCCCAGGTAAGCCTAATGTTAACAATAAATTATTTATCCTTCTGTGCCCCAATGTACCCTGCAAGCGGAAAGCCTACATCCTAACCCTTTTTGGGCAGCCGTATGCATCTGAACCTCAAGTCCTCTACACTCACTGTGTTGTTTCACTGTGAGTAGGAAATGTAGAAGGTTTGCTTCAGGTACTTCCCGCGCGTAGGCAGTCCCACTAGCCGGCTCCAAAATTGTCGACGGACAGCCAGCCTGTGAAGCTGAAGCCATGCATACGGAAATTACGGGGTTTTTGGTAAGTTAGGAGGGTTTGGGAGATCCTGAAGCCAGTGCCACGACAAAAATTGCACAGTGCTCCGCCCAGTGTATTCTGGGGCGTCCCCTTCTAAGTCCTCCCCCTACCTCACCCCCTCTATAACGGAACGCGCTAGTGAAACAACAGTCCCTCTCTAAACACTTTGCTGCTGCTCTAAGGATGTGGCCAAACAACTTCAATTGTGCCCTGTGTAGTGTGTGAGGGGTGGCTGTGAGGCTTGTTGTCGTAATTATTGGTTGGAAGTGGTTGGCTGTGAGGAGTCCAGAACCTTCCTGTAGAATGTGGCTGGGATGCGGTGCATCTTCCGCAATGCCTTCGAATTGAAGGACTCCAGCCTGTGAAGGTCCGCCTGTGTGAGGGCTGCGGACTCCATTCCACAGACCACCAGGGGCACAAAGACCGCGTTGTAGATACGGAATGTGTGCCGCCAAAAATGGTGGAGGGTATTGAAGTGCTTGCGAGCCTTCGCCGGCCTCTCCGATACGTCCTTGCGGGACGAACAATTTCTCGACAGCATCACCCCCAAATATTTGGATGTTCCACCTCCTTGATTTCCTCTCCTGTGAGGTTTCGCACAGGTTTTGGGGAAGAATGGGACTTCAGCAGCAAGCACTTGTCCCAACTCAGCGCAAGGTTGCTGTGAGCGGCTGTGATCTCTGTGAAGGCCACCAGCTGCTCTGCTCTCTGGGCTGTGGAGGCGACCAGGGCTGTGTCGTCCGCGTAAGCGAAGTCGTAGAAGTTGGTCTGCTGCCCAAATACCCACGGCATCATACCTCCATTCTCAAGCAACTGTGAGTCCACGTCGTGCAGGATCATGCTGCGCACCATGAGGAAGAGGTAAGGCGAGAGTGGGCATCCTTGCCTGAAATGCCGGACTTTGCGCAAAGTACTTCGCTGGTGTTGCCGGCGGCCTTGACTTGGAATAACTGTGAGGTATAGATGCTGAAAATGAGGGCGACCATGGCCTTTGGGACCCCGTAGCGTTGCATCGCGACTTCAAGCGCCTCGACACTGACTCTGTCAAAGGCCTGTTTCCAGTCAAGCAGCAGGACGTAGAGAGACGTGTTTGTACGTTCTGCCCGTTCAAGTAGTCGGCGAAGGATGTGTACTGGTTGCGACGTCGATCTCCCGGCCTAGAAACCGTATTGTAAGGGCCTTAGGCGGTCGTCAATGGCTTTCTCCAGCTGTTGCTGAGCGATTCGCGCCATGAGCTTGTATGCGGTGCTTAACAGGCTAATTGGACGATAATTGTTCGGGTCTGTGAGGGAGTCCTTGCCCTTGTAGATCTCCACTACTAGCGCCTTTTGCCAGTCCTGTGGGATCGCTCCGGCTGTGAGTGCCTCGTTCAGGATGTCCAACAAGTGACATCGGTTCTCCTCTGTCATCCACTGCCAAACTTCCGTGGGGAGATCGTCCATCCCTGCTGCCTTGTTATTGGCTGCCTTCCGTAATGCCGCGTTGAGCTCCTCCATCGTGAAGAGGTCCGTGTTGACATCGGCCTGTGGGGCGATGGGGTCTCTGTTGCCGGTGTATGGATGGGATGGCGGGGCCCGCTGTGAGTTAGCCAGGTGTTCCGCGAAGGTCGCGGCTTGCTTGGACTGGCTGACTGGCTTTCCTTTGGCGAGCCCCCAATCTCCTTTCAAACTGTGTGATGCCAGGAGTCATCTTGATCTGTGAGCCCTTGTAGGAGGACTTCTTCCAGCTCTTTGCTTTGGAGGAGCTGGCTGCCGCTGGCTGGGAGTCTGTCGATGCAACTCCAGGCTGTGACTCACCTTGGCTTTGCTGTGCCTGCTTCCTCCCAGAACCAGACTGTGAGGCGGTTGCTTGCCTCCATCAACTTTTTCCGCACGCCATAAGTGGGCGCATGTAGCATAGAAACCTGTGAGAGCTTGGGCTCCCCCTGGCCATCATCCATTTGAGTGGCTGTAAGGTCCCACTCCACATGAGAAAGGCCCATCTCTCTCACGGCTTGGTTGACTGTGAGCTCTCGATCCTGCACAGTCATCCACTCTGGAAAATTGCGAAGGACCAGGGTTCTCTTTGCAACCTCAATCTGCGAAAACATGACATGATTTTCCACTCAGGCAGTGCGAATCTTCAACTTCTGAACTTCACTCTCGGTGGTCAATGCGCCGCCTGTGGACTTGGAACTGTGAGCCAAAGTGGCTTTGAAGAGCTCCAAGTGCTGGCGCCACCTTGCCCGTGAGGGCCTCTGCGATCATAGCTACACATTTGGCTCTTGTAACGTTGCGCCTCCTGTGAGCCAGATGGTTGGACCTGCCATTCCTGTGGGCGAGCAACCGGTTCCGCCGTAGCCAAAAGTGATGGGCCATCACCAGTCATGAGCGCGTCATGGTTGTTCACACGCTGGCTCAGGTTCTCCACCTGCTGCGCCAGCACTGAACGCTGCTGCAGGTCCTGTGCATGCTGGACTTTGCGGGGCTCCATTCCAGCTGAAAGTTTGGCCAACTTTTTGGCAATGCTGTTAAGGCATCGCCTTCACCTGCCATGGCTGGAGTCCGAAACTGTGAGCTGAACCTGTGAGGGAACAGCGCGCACTGTGAGCTGTTCCTGTGAGGAAACAGCACGTTCTAGAGGAGGGCTTGAGCACTCGTGAGCTTACATCCTAACCCTAAACAGTGCAAATCCTCATTCTTCTGAGAGGCGGTTGGTGTCCCCGGCGAGCAGGATTTCGCGTATCGCCTGGAAGGGCTTCAGCCGAGATCCGAAGATCTTATACTGAACGTCCTCAGCTGAAGCATGGTTTTTCTTACCTACTGCTCCACCCTATGCAAAGCTGCAAATATCTATATGCACATGTTCATTCGTATCCAACTGCTACTGAGACAGTCCTTAGAATGCTTACGGTAGAACAGGGTTTGCAGCTTTTTACGCGTAAGATGTTGTACTGGAGAAAGTTACCAATGATCCACGCTTCTCTGAACATTGGTAGCACCAAAAAATGATGTCCTTCTATGCTATATTGGGGCCTACAGTATCCCTATCTATGACAGAGTACTAGTCTGTTGAGACCTCCATCAATGGGGTAAGCCCTAAACCCTAGCATAAACCCTGAAGCCTAGATCTTAAACCCTGAAGCCTAAACCCTAAACCCTAAAGCCAACATCCTAAACCCTAAACCCTAAACCCTAAACCCTAAACCCTAACCCTCCTAACACCTGAACCCTAAACCCTAGGGATGCTCAGGGCTTTAAGGATTGGATCCTGGAAATTGGTTTTTTGCCCTGCCCCAAGAGAATTCCTTGCCGAGGAAGTTTCAATCTTCCGGGGTTGCATGGGTTTTTTTGCGTCAATGGCATGATTTTCAACAATTTTGGCCAATGGTTTTCTTGTGAAGCAGTAGCAGCAACAACGGCCTTCAGCAAAAAGCCCGCGGGAGTTTGCCTTAATCACTGCTTTCGAGGGGGGAGAAACCAATACATGTATAAGGGAACCTAAACCCTCAAACCCAAACCATGTTTTAGCAGGAATCCAGAAGCAAGTATCCGGATTTTGAGAGATTACAACCAAACTCAGGGATGGGGCTACATTAACTCTCATCATTCCTAGCCCAGAAGTAATACCAAGATAACCCAGAATTCTAGTATACCCGTCTGCAGTGAATCAGGCTGGTACCTGTTCCTTTTGCGTACTAGGGTCGGTTTCCTCCGCCAGGCAGATCTCCATTAGCGCCTGCGCCAGCTTCGCAGGAATCGTTCCCTCACATCACGGTATGTACGATTACATGTATACATGTATATATGCAGGAAAACACTTCTGTGTGCTACCAGTGTCGTTTTTAATCGTAGCTCCAGTAGCAGGGGAGAAGTATCATTGCAGTAGTGCAAAACTAGAAGAAGTAGCAGTGCTAAGAATGCGCAGTTCCCTATGAATGCTTCAGAGTTCGTTAGGGTGCAAGAGGGTAGGTCCTGGAAGGAAGAGTGGTACGGATTCACTTCGAAGCCAGAATTCTCAAAGATGACAGGAAGAAAGAACGGAAGAAGAAGAGGAGAGTTCTGAAGAAGACGCCTACTCGCAGCTACCAAGTAGTTTCGGGGGCTATCACCAAGTGTGCTGCTCAAAAGTAGCATGCAGAAATTGGCAAATTGGCTTGCAACCTGCGCACAGACACAGATTCCACAGCAAGTTCTAATCTCTGGGAGACATATGTAACGGTATCAGGTTGCAGAAGAACTCCCCTGTAGAAACACTGTTGCATTTGTTTGTCCGGTTTTTGGGGAGTGTACAGAATCCCCTTCTTACAGGATGTTGAAGAAACTATGGCCATAATCCGTGTTGTTTTCGCAGCATGGCCATTCAAACGTTTCTCAGCAGAAACGTATAATGAGGACTCCGACACGCCTGTACTTCAAACTCTACGCCCCTCTATGGTCCCCAACTCAAGAGCTTAGAACACAGTTGACATGATGCAGGGGCCCGAAGAATTACCAACATCATCATCTTGAGGTCTATTGGAAGAATCTTATATTGACGTTCTGCAATCAATCTGGGACCATAATCTTGAAAATTCGCTGGTTATTAAGGCTTCTACTGTAGTCTGTTTTGATTCAATCCGCCGACCTTGGGGGGC